CCCCCCCATCCATGTCTGCGATGTGCTTTGGTCTAAGGGAGTCTGATGTCTCTCTCTGTCTATCTCTGTGCACTTCACTAATGGTTCAAGAGGAATGCATGGAAAATTCAAGCAGTTATCCATCATTTCTCTCATTTGAAGGAACTGGTAGTTGAAGTATTTAAGGAGTAGGACAGTTCTTTTGAACTTCCGCAGCTGGTAGCTGGTACCTGCTTGCAACTATAACTCAATTATAAACCAATCTAATACTATCATATTAATATTTGAAAGATATGAGAGAGGGGTACTTACAGCCTGGGATCTCAGTCAGCTCATTAAGAGGTGGCACTGTCTCTAATGTGTTGGCGTATTTCTTGGCAGCCTGCCTTTGTGCATGCCTTGCTTCAATTTCCTTTTTTGTTCTGGGAATTCGGCATTTGAATATACAGCACAGAGTGATGACTAAAGGAGAGAAGTACAAGGATAAAGACAGGGTGGCGTTATTTGAATAAGACATTTTAATAACACCTTACATGATCAATAAGAACTTAAGGGGCAGTGGCAGTCACAATATACAGTGGGGTCCAAAACACTGCGAATACTAGCTAAGGTACATTTTTATAAATTCCACATTACAAATGAATATAAGCAAAATACAACATTAAATACAACATACAATTAACATTCTGACTGAATGTTTAAAAAATAAATAGATTTCAGAATATCTTTGTATTTGTTTGGTGTTTTGGTCGTCCTCCTCCCATTCTTTGATGACAGAAAGCAATCAAGCTGGAGGTGTGTGCAAGAAAATACCTTACCCTATCCTACCATTACCGGACAAAGTTCCAAAGAATGTTTTGTGACATGTTTTGCTTTGTCAGCATACAAATGCTTCCTCAAATATTCAGTGGTGAGTAAAGTCGAGCTACTGAGGAGTCCATGAGTGCTCCTTAATCCTGGTTCACTTGGACTCATTATCCTGCTGCAGTATGAATCTCTCTACACAAAGATGCAAACTAAGAGGGAGAAAATGTCTAAAAACGCCTGTGAGTGCTTCTTGTTCTAAACACATCCCTCAATGACTAACTGACTGAAACCGATGCTGACGTGTGATGAAGTTGCACCACAGCCACATGGCTGCATAATGAAGTGTAACTGTGTTACATGTTTAGCAGGCCAACTGTAGTTTTGCTGTGTATGTTTGCTGTGTTGCTCTTCCCGGTCTCGGTACAGCCCACCTTCCAGTGGAGCCAGTGAGCAGCTGGCTCCACTCAGCAATCAGCTGTGGTAGTACTTAAGCTGAGGAGAAGACAGCCAGTGCCAGAGAGCTTTGTCCTGACAGGGACTGAGCTGTGGTGTTTGTTGCCTACTCCCTGGTGAATGTGAATGTGAATTTTCTTCTGGATTGATGTGTTGAGCTGATCAGCTTCAAAGTCTGTTGCCGTATTTCATTTTGTTTTTCATGACAGTTGTTGCTTGGTCATGTTTTTTAAAGTTAAAATGGTGATAAATGTATTTATTTTGTCCCTCTAATTCTGCTTCAATTTCCCCGCAGACACCATTTGTTAGTTCCCCACATCCATTGGACTTACTGGTAACAGTTTTAACATTGATTGGTGTATTTTCTTTTTCTTTTGTAATTCTAGCTGGAGAGAAGGTACACAGCCACAGGATATGTTTAATAGCATCCTACATCTTGCATGCTACTTCTAGTCTTGCTCTCTCTTTCATCACTCAAACATGGCATGCTCAGCAGGGAGCGGTGAATGAAACATCCATAATTAATCTTTATTTACCAAAATGCTGGTTATGAAGAATCCAGTTAGAATGTTAGATTAGGTTTAGTCATATTTGCCCGTCTGGGTCTCTGCATGTGCGAGTGTAAAGTGTAAGTTTGTGAAAGGCTTTCTATTGTTACAAACCGCTGTGTGCACATTGAATAGGTTTTGTATATTGTATTGTTAAATTGTTGCTATGCTTTTATGTTTGTTACTGAAGCAGAAGCAGCCGTGCATGTAGAGCCCTTTTACAGATTACATTGTCTATAGAAGTAGAGATGAAATGTTTGGTTGATTGAGCACAAAATTAATTAGCAACTATCTAGTTAATTTTCTAAAATAATTTTTAAAAACCATAACATTTCATGCATGAAACGATAGTCCTAGCTTTAAAACAGCCACCCTCCAGGCCCTCAATAAACTCTTAAAGATCCAAAGTATATACTTAGGATTTTTTTTTTTTACTTATTTATTTATGTACACGAGGATAATTCATTCATGTCTTAAAAAGGCTCAGCTGTAACTCAACACCTTTGGCTCCTTTTGTATACGCACATCGATGAATATGCAAATTAATCTGCGCCTCTTCCCTGTGTCTTTTGCCCACAGCCAAATATAAAAGTAGAGCCTCTCAGGCGGAGATTATATTCATTTCAGGAAGTATGCATGTGCAACTGCAGACACCATGGAGGAACAGTCACTCTTGTTGTACCTTTTTCCCCATGAGTCTCTTTGATGACACATGCATGAAGGGCAAGTGGGCTCTCATACATGCACGGACACATGAAACGAGTGTAGATTAGGTTATCAAATAGCTAATAATGTGTCATTAAGCTATAACTTGTTCCCTATCACCCACTTTGCAAGTTCCCAGCTTCTTGTTTTCTTGGTTTGTCTCAATCATGTTTTAGAGACCGTTACTGGACACTGAAATTCCACAAATATTGCAAAAATATTTGGCCATGCCATCAATGCCTTTGCAGATGACATGTCTTATACACAATTTTAAAACCTGCTTTTCATTAATTGGGTAATGTTGTGAGGTTTGGGCTGTTGGTTGGACAAAGCCATGCACTGGGGTGACATCACTTTGAGCCCTGAGATTTTTAAAATAATTTCAAACCAAATAATTGAGAAAAACATAATCAGCAGATGAATCGCCGTTAATAATAATAATAAGTTGTAAACATCACATTGTAAACGTCCACGGCAGACCCAGTGGCATTTCGATAAGTTTTTATTAATCCCTACACGGTTGCTGTACATTCGCACTCAGAGCTGCAGCTCTCCCGCTGCCAGCTCAACATAACACCAACAACAACAACCCAACCACAGGACCCAGTACAATATTTAAGTCGCGGGGCGTGATTGCGGATGCCGTGCAGGTGCGTTATTTTTGATTACTTTCTGTGCAGTGTGTCAGCTCAAATTTGGATACAAAAAAATTGAACAAAATTTGGTTTTTGCTTAACAAAAAAGTATTTTTGTCAAGTTTTGAAAGATTTCTTAAATATTTGTGTTTTCTTGTTTTTATGGCGAGGGTCTAAATAATTTGTTAAACACTGTATGGATTAAGCTTTCAGTACTAATTACACTCAATTACTTTTTAAACCACTGAATAGCATCACCTATTGAACAGTTGTAGGTGTATAAATGAGTTTATCAGAAAAGCTACACCTGTGGCATTCATGGATTTAATGGTTTTATTGAGGTATTGTACTTTTGAATCACTGATTTTGTGGGTCTGCATGCTGATAGATAGATAGATGATTGCTGGCAGCAGATGTCATATGTTTTTTGTATTACTGTACTGCCAATTATGTTAGCGCTTTATTTTGCTGTTCGGTGTTTTTATTTAGTTCCCTTTTGCATTGTTCACTGTAAAATCTGTATTTTGCATAGTTCGAGGATTCAGTCCCGTTGCTCAGTGTCTCCAGTGCTTTGGCCTGTGTTGGTCTCTAGTCAAAACTGTAGTTTGAATATGAGAATTGACTTGATGGATATTTGTGGATGTCATTTTTTTCTTCTTTTTTCTTTTTTTTTTTTTGAGAAAATGCATGTTTACTAAATCTTTTCATAAATAGCCAGCCAAGGCAGATAACCCACAGAGTCTGTTGTGGTATCTTCACTTAGGCCACTGGGAGTCAATTGACCTATGAACAATGGGTGTGAGTTTATTTATGAAAAGAAGCCTATGATGAGTAGGTCAAATCAATGTGATGCCGGCTGAATACATGTCTCTGTGAAAGGTCAACATAGAGAAATAAGACGTGCATGGGGGAAATGCAGACTTGGTAGGTGGACAAACCATAAACTGTCAGCAGCTGCTCTGTCAGTGCTACAGTCCTGTCTGCTTGAAGGACCTGATGCTGCTAGCCCAAGTTTACCGTAGGACTGCAGCTCTGGGATGAGTGATAGCGGTGAAGCCTGGGGTGGCACTACCAGATAGGGTTAAGAGGGATAAAGACAACTCCAGTGGAGAAAAAAGCTGCTAATAATAATATGTCGCTTCTTATCAGGGCCTTTCAAGGAGAACAGTCCTTTTGGCAAATATTCACAATGTTAGAAACTATCTAAGGATAAGATAAACACACCCAAACAGCCTATCACTTATGATCTGGTAGTTGGACTTGATTGATTTGAGCAGTGACTTTTCCCAGAAGGAAGTCAATGCTTTAAGTCAGACATTTCTTCCGGTTTCCAGTTTTATTTCAATTAAAGTATGTCTGAATCCTTAAGATGTAAAATCGTGCTGTAAAATATTATATACTGTATATACAGAATACATAGAACATAACAAAATAGCAGAAATTTAACATTACAAAATGAAAACTATGAGGTCAAAATAACACATTCTGCGTGGTTGTAAGTTTCCTTGTGTTACTGTGCAACCAAAATCCATGTTCTCAGAAAGGGCACATGGAGTGTTTACTCTCTGCATGAGTAGGTGAGTAGGCCCATGGCATTTTTGTGTCTAAGGCCAGTGGTCATGATAACCCATCATGGCACCAAGAGCATGCATGAAAGCAGGGTTATTATTTTTTTGCTTGCACAGTGACATGTTTCATAGTGGCACTAGGACTGTTTATCAGTCAAGTTCTTTAGGATGTGGTAAAATTATTATTTCATCTAAATGCACCGGGAGGTCATGTTTTCTAAAAAATGATTGGTGAAGTATCTCAAAAGCAAATGATGTGGTGTCTCCCCTACAGTATTCCTTTTTAATATGCTATTAATGATTAGCCCTGGCTGAACTGCATCAGGGAACAAATGTGTAACCTGCTAAATGTCATTATGCTACCACTGCCAATGTGAGCATGCCAAAGACTCCATTCAGGCCAAAATGCAGATAAGAATGAAGACTTGAACTGTTTTCTGAAACAAATCTGCCAGAATAAAACAAACAAACAAACAAAACAAAGTATCTCTGCCCTCATCCTGCAGTTGTTCTTATCAGCTGCTTAGCGAAATTGTTCCATTTGCTGACATAATATCAGTATTATTGTGATAATCAATCACACTGTGCTTGATTATCACATTGTGAACTCATAATTGAGGACATTTGCACTCTGCAGCTACATCTCAAGATAGCTGTTTTCTTTATGAATGATTTGTGAAGGTGACAACAAAGTGATTTCCTGAGATATACTAACCAACTGCCAGAACAAACATGGAAAAGATACCAATGACCTGCCATAACCGCAGCCCCCAGAAAACAACGGTCTCTGAAGTGACAGGGTCGGGCTTCTTTGGGGGATCTGTGGGTAAAAGCTGTGGGCAAAAGAGAGAGAGAGAGAGAGAGCATCAACTGTTTTTATATATCTGCACACAAACTAAAAATAAATCTTCACAAAAAAAAAAAAGGATTAACAACAGTGCAAAGCTCAAGGAGCAACACGATCTTAGAGGACCTCAAATTTCAGAGAACTATTTTTAGTTTTCACTGTGATACTTCATTCTTTAGGCAATGCAGCATGTCAGTAAAGTACTTGGTGTTCGAGTTTTCAGTCACTCTGCAATCTTTTCTGACTCAAAGTAAAATGAAAAGTTTTTGAATCTGTCATATTGTCACAAAGCATTACCATTTAGATAAGAAATAAGGGTTGAAGTCAGACGGGCATTGATTGTTCAGCATGCAGCTGGATGAAGCATTAAGGAATTATATCTGCCTTCTTTCTGTGAATTTACTACAAGTGTGCAGCCAACATCCTTGTACTGTATGTCCTTGTACAGCCTCACATTTCATTCCGAGCAATGTTAGCGCCTCAACATCATTTCAGTTATTAACAACTACAGTGTAGCTCATATTGTATTTACCTGGCAAGGATACTTTGGCAAATGTTTACATGTCCACAGATTGTAGATTTTCTTAACACAATTTCATGATAATAAAACATTAAAGGTTTATAGCTGATATCAAAATGAACCCATATAATGAACTCATATAATTATAGACACCATCTGGTGCTGGGATCGTATCAACCCTAAATGCCGTCACCACCAACTCATGAGTACACAGTAGTCATTACAACATTATTCCATCAGTAGGCAGTGCTGAGTCTTATCTTTGAACTCTTTCAGTTTGATGACACCTGTGAAATCACACTCACTGGGCCACAGAAACACATTTTGACAGCCACACGCATGCAGTACATTTGATATATAGATGTACTGTAAGAAAATCCCAAGAGACAAAGCAAACAATTATCAGAGCATTTTCTAACAAAATTATTTAATCAATTATCGTACAAATAAAAAGGCTAATAAAATAAAATAAATAAATAAATAAATAAAAAGGCATAAATATATGGATTTGGAAAATAAGTAAATAAATAGAAAATAAATAGCTATAAATAAAAACTAATTCCCTTGTTAACTTAGCGAATGGAACAGAAATTTTCAAATAATATATTAATCCATAAATATGTTGTTAAAATGAAAAATTGTATTAAATTAAATAAACTAAATGTATTAATAATAATAAATTAATTAATTAATTAATAATATTAATAAACCAAATGTATTAAATGAAAAATATATTAAATTTAAACATAAAGCCATCCATAAGTATGTAGTGAGTAAATAATTAATTACAATAATAAAATGTAGTTTGAAAAGAGAAATTGAACAGAACCCCCTGCTTCCTATTCCTGTATTCCTCTCATTTAGTCTTTCCTATACATGTTGATCCATGTGCTCCATTCCTAAAACAATTTGTGAATGTTTTGTAGCTCTCTTTTAAAAACTGCATTTTAATATACATTTTCATTATGTTCTTAGATTTATTTGTAACACTTTAAGATGATCAAATTGTATTTTTATGCAAAGTATTTATTGTTGCTTCATATTCAAAATCTTTTTTAAATCTCATATACTATAATTTTTAAAAAGTAATATGTAATTTAGTCAAATATTTAACTTTTGATTAATTTTTATTCTGAATGTATGTTTTCATATTGTACATTCTGTTAGTGTGACTGCATTTTATTTCTCTAATATTTTAATGACACTTTCAGTCCTCCATAAAAAGGATCTTTAGTATTTCTTTAAGGAAATCTCCCCAAACCCCCTGTATGTTTCCATGCCAGATGTGAACTTACATGGTCCCCCTTAAAAACAAGTACCCACAGTGACAGCAGTGAATGTGTTGCACAAGTTGACTGCTTTCCATAAACTTTCTCAGTGTTCTGAGATGTCTCGCATGTTGTACAAAGTTTTTCTTGTTACCGTCCAAGACCAACTGTTTTGTGATTTCAAAGCTCTCTCCAGAGCTGTGGATTAGGGAACAATAAGTGTAGAAACTGGCTGTAGTATGCGTTTGTCTTCCTGCTAGATCAATGACTTGGATCGGTACTACCACAGCCATCAGAGGGCCGGTTCCCTGATAAAATTACTGAGTAGATTTCTCCCTGTCTCCTCTGTATCGATCACTTGATTTGATGATACAAGGCTGTTTTGGAAACTCTACACTTTAGTCCATAAACCAACAGAGAACAGATCAGAAAATGGACGTTATTGCATTTGTTGCCTTTATGTGTGACAGAATTATGAGATGAACCACAAAAAATCAAAGTTTCAAAAATAAACTAAAATGGTGATATCATACACGTGATAAACAGCAGCATAGGATGAGATGAAAAGGAAACAGTTGATGGGAATGGTAAGTCAGTTAAAATACTAAAAAGGATGAGAGATGTTACTATCATACTAGAAATTAAAAACAAGCGCTCGTCAACTTCCCAGGATATC